ATTCAAAGGATTTGAAGTGCACATGTTTCTGTATCTTGAGCAGTATTTATCTTGAAGGTTTAATTTTCAGTTACTCTTCCGTAAATATTTTTAAATATTTAAGGTAACATTATTAAAAGAAATCTGTTGTAGGAAGGCAATAAATTGCTCTCTAATTTGTGTGTTTTGAAAATTTGCATTTGACAGTACTCTCTAAGCAAAGCACTATAAAACATTTTCCTATTTATAGGATGAATACATTGTGACAGAAAATGTGATAGAAAAAAAATCTAAACATAAAAAGACCTAGGTATCATCCTACCACTAATACATTTCATGACCTTGACATAATTACAAAACTTTCCTGGGCCTCATTTCTTTATCTGAATAAATTGATTTAGTTCCTTCCCTGTGGTGAGCTTGAAGCCCCAGTTTTATGATTATTCATCATCCATTTCCAAATATACAAACATTTTATGAACAAAACATTGATAGAGCACATAGTGGTTTAGATATGAATACAAAATTTTGTTTACAGGGCTCCTATTGAATACCTTTTTCAAAGATTATATAGGAAGGATATTAGATTAATAAATAATATAGGTAAAGTAAGATAAAGTTAGATAAAGATAGATAAAGTTAAAATTGATAGTGATAGTGCAAAGAATGAAATGACTTTTAGAGTTTTAAATTATGTCTATATGCAGATCTGACAACTGATATTTTTAGTACATTATTAAAGTCTGGAGATATACTTTTTCATTTATTCATATAATTTACTCGTTTGCAAAACATTTGCCTAAACATCTCTAGATGATTTTATATATATATACATTCTGATGTTCTCTTTGACATAGGTAAACACAGAACTATTTTTCTCTCATTCGTAAACTCAGATGTAAATAATATGCTTTTTATTAGGAAACTGTACTATAAAGTCTTGGTAGTCATTAAATTAACAAACACATTTTTAAAAAATATTTATTTATTTGGCTGTGCTGAATCTTAGTTGTGGCATGTGGGATCTAGTTCCCTGACCAGGGATCAAACCCGGGCCCACTGCATTAGGAGCGTGGATTCTTAGCCACACGACCACCAGGGAAGTCCCCAACAAACACACTTAAATTATTGCCAGGTAGTAAGTTAAGAACTGGAAAATATAGTTTAATAAAGTTTAATAGGCAATAGCCTTTAATGATTTTCAGTTATTTGGATCAAATTTTCATTGTTCTTAAGGTTAAAAAATGCATCTGTAAGCCACAATTAGTTATAGAGTTAATGGGTGAATGAATAGTCACTCTTCAGTTAATATGAAAAAGACCCCTGTTTATTTATGAGTTAATATATTTCTGTAATTATAAGCATAAAATATGAAATCTACAGCAAAGTATGTAGTAACTGAAATGTGACCCCTAAGTTTGCTCTCCTTCAGTGTCAACCTTTATTTAAAGGGTGTTCTGCAGAATGCTAGTATTCCTTCATATGCTTCTTAGAAAATAACATTCCATGAATAAACGTTTGGGAAATGTTGGATTCAACAAAGTGAAGCAAATTGTGTTTCTTTTGTTTCAGCGTCAATCTGCCAGAGGAATCTTAATTTGAGCACTGAACTCATTTTTTTTGTGATATCTCATGGGACTAGAGATATTATGTATGATGTATTTTGGGAAATATAGTTCTGTTTAAAACATTTTCCATAAAGAAAAAATTTTAATTAAATTAAAAAAATTGGGGCTTCCCTGGTGGCGCAGTGGTTGGGAGTCCGCCTGCCGATGCAGGGGACACAAGTTCGTGCCCCGGTCCGGGAAGATCCCGCATGCCGCGGAGCGGTGGCCCCGTGAGCCATGGCCGCTGAGCCTGCGTGTCCGGAGCCTGTGCTCTGCAACGGGAGAGGCCACAACAGTGAGAGGCCCGCGTACCGAAAGAAAAAAATAAAATAAAATTTAAAAAATTGTAGCTCACCTGGCCTCTGCTACTCTGAGAGGAAGATGGGGACTGCATGGCCAGATGCTCTTCTGGGGAGGGACAGGACCGCACTGCCACAAGCTTCTCATAAGTTTACTATTAGAGCACTATTTCTTTATTCTTTAAATGTGTAAAGGGGAAATCCAAATTGAAGCCAAAAAAAAAGAAGATTGAAAGTGTTTTTTTAATAGAAATAAAATTGTTTTTATTTAAGTTTATTACATGATGGGCTAGAAAAACAGCTAGCTGCAAATTAAGATAATTGTCCTTTTCTTATGAGGTTGGTTTGGAGGGTGTAGTGTGGAGATAGCTTTTTTCTATGTGAATTACGTGTTTCCTTTAAAGAAAAAAAAAATCAACATAAGAAAATCCCTGAGAGTTTTCAGTACAGATGTCTCCAAAAGAGTTATTGCTGCCAAGATTTTTTTTCCCTGTGTGTCATAATCTTTGTATAATTTATAAATGATAACAAAGCAGTCAGGCCACATTCATAAAAGCCTAGTGACACATAATTTAGTTGAATCTGAGGATTAGAATTAATTGTCTCTCTTTGTTCTAAGTTCTAAATCTTAGTAAATGATTCATGCATGTCATTACAGCTTAATATTTGCATGAAATCACAGTTTAGCTGGCATAATTTAACAGCAATTAAAAAGCTATTTAATTGTCATGCTAATTGGTCTGAGAGCCCTTGAGGAAGAAGGGTGTCTGCCGTTTTTATTTAAGTATCTCTAGGCGGACAGTCATATACTTGCAGACACCCATAACATAATTGATAACATTCTTCCTGTTCTTGGAAATGTAAGTGAATAATAATTCATGTTTTTCCATTATAAATAAGAGAAAAGAACAATATGAATATGTCATTCTGTAGGAAGACATTATTATGATAATGATAATGAATCTTTATCTCCTAGCCATGAGTCTAGGTTGGAGGTAAAGAACTATGCCTATCCCTGTGCTCTAGTTTTTAATCCCTTCCATATTTTCCTTTCTGAAGGTAGACGTTTCTTAACTCTCTGGAACATGAAATGTACATATAGGTGTCTGAGTCCTACCCATTAGGTTGCTGATATCAGGATCCAGCAAAATGAAAAAGGAAAATGTAACACTTCTTAATATCTCAAAGCCAATACACAATCATATAGATTTAGGAGTGATGTTATGCTACTCTAACAGTATATAACAGATCTTGCTACTGAGTCCTCTGTACTCATTTAGACCATTCCCCACACTGCAGCCAGAATGCTGTTTTTGAAACACATCACTTCTGTAGATAGAATCTGTTAGTTTCTTCCTGTTAAGTATAGAAACATATTCAGACTCATTCCAATGAGCCAGCAGTCTGGCATTATCCAACCCCTTCCTGTTCCTTAAAACTCACTTCTTGCTTCCTCCTTCCGCATTCTAGCCACAGTGATCTTCTGACAGTTCCATGACTATTTTAAAATCTTTTTTGACTAAAGAGCCACACATCTTCTACCTCTAATATTCTTCCCACTCCTCTGAACATCTTCCACATCACCTCTATGAGGCCTTCTCAGAATGTTTCTCAGGTTATTTCAGCTCCTTTCCTTTTGATTTCTGTAACTGCACTTACTATAATTTGAATTTTATTCTTCTGTTTGTGTGTGTGTATTTGTGTTTATCTAGCCATTCAGCTAAAATGTTAATAACAAGAAAGCAGAAATAACTTTTATCACATTCATGCTGTAAGCCCAAGATCTAGCAGAATATCTGGCACACATAGTAGTCACTAAAAATATATATATTTAATGAATGAATGACCATATCTTGAAATCCAAAAGAAGCTTATATGAAAAATTGAATTTCTTTCTATGGAGAGAATGTCCCAGAGAATTATTTCCCTCCTTCTAAGCAAATTTTCTTGATAGCAACAATTTAAAGAACTGTTTAGATTTCTTAAAACTAAGCTTTTTAAAATGTGGTAGGAATGTTAATTAGTTATTTATGCAATAAATTATTTTTCAAAATATCTGTCATAAGCACAGTCTCTTACAGAAAGGATTCTGTGGTATTTCACAACATAGTACATAGCACAGTGCCAGGCACCGAGTAGACCTTCAGTTAATATTTGTTCAGTGAATGATATGAAACTGAGGTTTGAAGGACTCGGATAAGTGTAAAAGATTATTGACACAATTTTAAGAAAAGGCTGGAATAGTTAAAGGATATAAATACTCTATGCAGTGTGATCCGTATGGAAAAATAATGAGAAAAAAGAGAGCAGATGCTCATCCACCATCCATGAGAAACATGGTTTGTGCACTCTTGATGACAAATAAGAGGATTGTGTGGGTCTCTTTATAAGCTTCTAAGGACATACTTACTTATGCTTAGTAAAATTAATCTAAATAAAAGTCTAGGTACCATTTCTTATGTATACCCCCTTTTATCCCTTCCGTATAATGCTTTTGTCCCATGAAATTGGCAGGACCTAGTAAAAGCCTTTATGCTGCCTCCAGTTTCCTTTCCTCTTCCCCTTCTTCCAAACTGTTTGTCCACCCTGAGTTTATGGCCATTTATTCTCAGCCTGTGAGGAAAAGATTCTTAGAGAGATTGTCCAGAAAAATGAATGGGAGTTTTAGTTATACACCAAGCATAGTTTGAGGACTGAAAGACTCAACACAGCATGTTTTATATATGCATGTTACTATTTTTTCAAAATTTTAAAATGATGATGTAATTATTAAGATGTATTTAAAACCATCACATAATTTAAAATAATGTTTTGTTATATATTTCAGTCAACAAATTTAAAAAGTATAATTACTATCTTTTGGAGATCTGTGGCTTTTGATATTAAATATTGAAATTCATATACCAAAAGTTAAGATATAGACCATCTTCACCCCTAAGACTCCACTCTTAGTAGACTAACTCAGATATTTTTAACCATATTTCTTTATGGTTTCCATCAGAAGAGCTCAAACTAATATAAAAGACAAGCAAGTGTTTATTGATGCTGTTTTCAAGTTAGCACCATAATTCATTGTCCTATACATGTACATTTGTTTTTTAATTGCTTTCTCTAGGGCCACCTTCAGCTCCTAGGAATGTGGTTTTTAACATCAATGAAACGGCCCTTATTTTGGAATGGAGCCCACCAAGTGACACAGGAGGGAGAAAAGACCTCACATACAGTGTAATCTGTAAGAAATGTGGCTTAGACACCAGCCAGTGTGAGGACTGTGGTGGAGGACTCCGCTTCATCCCAGGACATACTGGCCTGATCAACAATTCCGTGATAGTACTTGACTTTGTGCCTCACGTGAATTACACCTTTGAAATAGAAGCCATGAATGGAGTTTCTGAGTTGAGTTTTTCTCCCAAGCCATTCACAGCTATTACAGTGACCACGAATCAAGATGGTAAGTTCCACTGTTGTTCTCTCAAAACTTATCTATAATTCCCTTTTGATGCTTAATATCCCTGGTGGACCTATATTCACTGAGGTGCAATTGTACACTATACATTACAGGGGTGATTTTCTGGTTGTTGTTCTTATTGTTTCCCAAGGTGCAGAAAGATATTTTTGATATTACTTCTTAGTAGTAATGGTCAATTAGATATAAAGCTTCTCTTTCATATCTATGCATTTATGTTTTTGATATAATCCTATGCTAACATATCTTAATGAGCAAGTCCATATTACTTACCAACAAACATCAGACATAAATAAGATGTTGCTACATGAATTGAAATTCAGTTGCCGTACTTATGCAGCCATCTCTTTTCCATGTCAGATAAGCAAATAGTAAGAATTTATGCTAATTATAATTCATATCTATATTGTAAAAACAATGCAGCCAGCAAGCCTAACCCTAATCCACTCCTAAAAGAAACAGCAAAAAATATCCAGAAGTGTGTCTAAATGCTGCTGTTTAGGTGCAGTTTTGTGTAAAAAATAGTTAAACTGTCTTTTTTAAAAACTCCAATTGCCTTCAGCTAAATGGTCCCTTTTAACACTACAGGTTTTTACTGCAATGTAGTTAGGCATGAATAGGCCTATGATTTTTTAAAATATATATTCTCTTTAATTCCCCCCATAATGTAATTTATCACAAAGCATGATACAGGAAAAGCTTCAAAGATTTTAAAAACTCCCTTTGAGAAGCATTCATAAATTATGTTGATACAGAAGTGATTGTCTTATAGAAGAAAGTATTGTTTTATATGCTTTATACTATTCTTTTACACTATATTTGTTTGCTAGGTCTGCTATAACAAATGCCACAGACTAGGTGGTGTAAACAACAGAAATTTAATTTCTTATTGTTCTAGAGACCAGAAGTCCAAGATTAAGGTATCAGCAGAGTTGATTTCATTCTAAATCCTTTCTCCTTGGATTGTAGATATCCATTTTTCCCTGTGTCTTCATATGTTCTTTCCTATGTGCATGTCTCTGTCATAATCTCTTCTTGTAAGGATACTATCATGACAGATTAAATCCCACCCATATGACCTCATTTTACCTTAATTTCTTAAGGGACCTATCTCCAAATCCAGTCACATGCTAAATTCAACATATGGATTTTAGGGGATGCAGTTCAGCCCATATCATGCATTAAGGCAGCTGTGGTGATATTCAAAGTAGAAATATATATAAGATGTTGGAATACTATTCAGCAATAAAAAGGAACAAACTAGTGATACACACAACTTGCATAAACTTTAAGGGCACTATGCTGAGTGAAAAAAACCAATCTCAAAAGGATACATACTGTATAATTCACTTACATAACATTCTTGAAATAACATAATTGTAGAGATGGAGAATAGATTCTTGGTGGACAAGGGTTAGGGCTTAGGGAGAGAGGGATTGGCTATGAAGGGGTAGCAGGAGGGAGCCTTGTAGTAATAATATAGTTATGTATTTTGATTATGGTGGTAGTTACATGAAGTTAGATATGTGATAAATTGCAAAGAGCTACACGCACGACATGCGTGCATGCACACACACACGAGCTGTATGGATTTTCTCAATGTCAGTTTCCTGGTTTTGATGTTGCACTTCAGTTATTGCAAGTAGTTAGCATTGGGGGAGGCTGGGTAAAGGGTGTATGGGACCTAACCATACATTTTTTTTGCAAATATCTGTGAATCTATAATTATTGCAAAATAAAAAGTAAAAAAACCACTGCTAAACCTATAAAGTATACAGGAAGAAACTTAAATATTCTACTAAAAACATATTTGAAGTGGATGTGACTATTTTATTCAAAATAATATATATAAGTTCACTTTGCTGATAATCTTCAGAAATGCATCTAATAAATAAAGCAAAGCCAAATAATACTGTAGAGTCACCATTTTTGTATTTACTATATAATATTCCTCTTCATCTAGCAAACTGCTCCACATCATAGAATTTGCTTTATGATTGTTCAAAATGTAATTCCTGTTTTCTCTTTTTTTTTCTTCTTTCCCATAGCGTCAACAAAATCTTGTCAGATGTGTCTTCAGCATAAAACAGATAGGGTCTTCTGTTTCTCTCTGCATTAGCAGATTATTTCTAAGCCTTTTTTCCACCACTTGATTAAAAAAACTATAATCCAGTACAACTGTTCTAACTATAGGGTATAAATAATTAAGTTTGGGAATAAAAACAATATATCACTTTAAATAAAATATATATGTAAATATGTTTACATAATTTCATACATTATACACATAGCAGTCTTTCAGGATTAGAAGAGAGTTCATTTAGGCTATTTTTCTAATTTAGCAGAAGGGCAGGATACGAACTACTTCCCACTTTGAAAATGAGAGAATTTATTAAAAGTGTATTGTTATAAGGACAGAAATTATACAAAGCATGAAACAAGATACAATATCCATATATTGAGGCTATGCATTCTGGTAGGGGACAGTATTATTAAATAATCCTCCCCAGTAAATTTATTTTTGAGAAGAATATTGAGAAACAATTATTGTTCATTTAATTCAACTTTGTTTTAGTTATAAATTATAATGAAAAATCAAAATATATTTAAATTTTGCTTGAAAAGTACATCAAGGTCCTAAACTGAGCTAAAATATTGCCACATATATGCTTTATAAAATATTATGACCAATCTTACACGTATAAGCCACTTATCTCCATGTCATAATTTTAAGAAGCACCAAGAAGGTCTTCTCTTCTTGTGTCTGAAATTCTGATGTTAGAAAATCATACCTTTAAAAATGCAGATATTCCAGTCAAGGGTAACATTATGAAATAATTCAATCTGTGCATGTATCTATTACTCTCTTCATATCAGAAGGGGTCAGATCCTAGTGTTGGGTAAAAGGAGCTTATAGAAACTGGAGTGTCCCAGAACCAGACTTGAGCTATCATCATTGTGTGCCAGCTTTAATAAGATAACAGTGTTACTGTTGCAGATAGAGGGAGGGATTTGCCATCATTCCACTTGGGTATCTTTGGAAATTCTCTTTGAAGTGACTCAAGAGGCACTGTCCAAAGTTACAGGGCAACACATTACAATTTTGTTGGACTGAGGGGACCACAGTAAATTATTTGTCTCATTATCCGTAGGTTACATATCATTGTTTTCACACTAAAATAGAAAAGTGATATGAGCTATTAATAAGCCTTTAATTTATTCAACACATGTATAGTGGTGAGCGAGCTTTTGTGAATTTTACACCCTGGTGGGGAGGCAGATAACAAATAATTTGACAAATACATAATTAGTACTGTGATAAGTCCCACCAAGGAGAAGCTCAGGGTGCTCTGAGAGCATGTATTATTCAGGTCTAGAGGATAAGGGCTGGTTTTCCTGAGGAAGCAGTATTAAATTAAGTTCTGTTCTGAGAGATGAGTAGAATATGAGTAGGCCACGTGAAGCCAGGAGAAGGGAAAGAATGCTGAGTAGAAGGAACCAAGCAAAGGTTGAGCAACTGAGGGATTAGGCCCTGATGACTAATGGACCCAAGAACATCTAACAAGTTGATATATTGCAGAGGTACAACAGGATTTGGGGAAGGACCTGAAGATTTAACTAAAATTTGGAGAAATGAGTTGGTGTCTGCAAAATAGCCAAGACAAGTTAGGGGAACAACCATTTAGCAGAAGATGCTGATATATCATCAGGGCCAGAGGTAGGGAAAAAGAAAATCAGCAGAATAATAATATTGTACATGAGGCAACCTCGTACAAATAGGAAATAAAATAATAGAGACTGAAAAATATAGACAGTTGCATTAATTATGATTTTACTATTCTGTGCACAGCGTGGAACGTGAGGATAAAGAGGAAGTTTGCGTCAAATTACCTTTTCTTTCATGTAGTTGATTATATGTATATGTCTTTTCTCATACTTAAGAAATATTAAGGAAACCCCATTAAACAACCTTGACTTAATTGTTTACTGTCTGCTTACAATTACAGAAATGTAAAAAAAGAAAAAAAGACATTTCCAAATCACTTAGACCCACTTAGCAGTAGTTAGGAAAAACATTCCTTGATTATCCTGATTCTAGTTGGATAAATAAGATTATAGATTTAAGACTGACTCTCATAATTAGAAATCTTTGCAATAAACCTTAATTAACTGACTTCTGCAATCCCTAAAAGCTTTTTTGCAACCTTCTATTTTGATAGCTTATTTAAATGGTCTTTAAAGGTGGTTCATTTAGAGAACAAAACAAGAAAGCAACACCTAGAAAACATTTGATTTTAATCCTCAGTGCATGATAGAAAAACTAAGATGTGTAGTTTAGTAAAAGGAATTATTCAGGTCATAGACAGGAAAGGAAAATGTTAATCATGGATAGTCAGCCTGAAACAAATTGTGTTTGTAGATATCCTGACATGTGCAAAAACCTTTAGGGGCCATGTTCAAAGTGAAAGACATGCTAAGTTACAGACCAATTCTGCTGATATTTACTAAAGGGTCTTTAAAGCAATTATTGTCAGAAGCAGTTTGTCCAGTCCTTCAGCTTCCTAAAATATATATTCAACACTCCTGTCTCTGCCAATGGGTGACTATTCTGTATAGGTCTTGCTTTAGGCTTACATTTTGATTGCAGATTTCATATATTTGCTCAGGTAGCAATAATTAATTGAACTGACATTGAAAATAGATTTAAATCAACAAAAGTCTCCATATATTTATAAACTTGAGATGTCTATTTGATTTACAGTTCACTGCATTCTGAAAATACAGTCTATTTCAAATAGCAACCTTTTGCACGTTGCTAGAGTAGGTAATTAGGGACATTATAAACATTCATTCATCTTTATATCTGTATTTTAATTTATTTTATGTCTGGATATTCCTCATAATTCTCACTGTGTTTTGAAAATTCTTGACAGTGTTTTGAAAATTCTTGACAGTGGATATTCTTTTTTCTAAAATCTGTGCAA